TCTTCGTGAACTCTGCTGCTGCGGGAGGTAATGTAACTCACGTAGACTTGTCGTTCGGTGTTGTGAAACCTTGCGTTCAAGCACAAGACTGCGAAAATATTTCCATTTTGAAAACAATTTTAAGTTTGAGGAATAAATCTATGAAAGTAAGTCATACACAGAATATTCAGCCAATGAAATCAGCAAACTGAACCCACTTGGAGCTTCAAATATCTCGCTGCTTTATACAGTCGAAAGTCTAGTTCCTGCAGACTTCTTCGTCCAATCAGATATTTGAAGTCAAGTTATGTACTTCACGTTTCTCCGTCGAAAAAAAAATTAAATCTACTTCGTCTATTTGGAAAAGAAACTCTGTAGCTGCCCGATAGATGCAGCTACCGTAGTGGCACAAAACCAGGTAAATACCCAAGGCAGCTAACGGACCAATGAACGTCCCCCACGGCTTCCTGTTTTTCGGAAATGAAATAATAAGCCGCTTGGTTGTGCCCCCATTCATGAGCATTCGACAATGCACATAAACATTTCCCCTAGTTAAAGAGACTTCTGTATCAGGGCACTTCATCAGTACCACGCCCACCAGTGGAATACAAAGGCATTTGGAAAACGGTCCTGCAGACGATGTGGCTTTGTCACGTGATCCTTTGAAAGCTTTGGCGGTTTCGATGTGTCGCAAACTATCAAAATGCAGAATTTTCAAGCAAATGAAGCAGCATTTTCCACAATCAAAATAAATGTTAATTTAGGAGCAAGATGATTGAGTTCAATTGTGTTCCAAAGAGGATACACAATATGAGCAGGTTTTGGGACTTAATCAATTCAATTATTGGATACATAGGTGATATTCCCTACACTGATAACTACATGAATTTTCTAATCAGATTAAATACGCTAAAGACCATATTTAGGTTAAAATATCGAAAAACCCAACGTTTCCTTCGTGGTTGCCTAATCTGTTTAAAATGGCTAATTTAAACTATTGTATCATTTTGTTCGTGGTCTACATCGAAATAACCTCACGACTTAGTGGGTTGTCGAGGAATTAGATTTTTTTACGAAATTTGAATTGACCAAAAGCGAGGGCACACAATGGTAAATCATGTTGTCGTGTAGTTTGACCGAATGTACATGTTGCATCACAGGTGACCTTTGACATTTGAACTTACCTTGACCATAAAATTCGCACTTTTAGGAGTCTGACCTGACCCTGAGTTGAAGTGCAGTGGATGATGCCGATTGGTGGAGAAATGGCACGTTTTGCATCGTCAATGTTAAGAAAAGCTGGCTCTAATCATTGGCGATTTGCAGATTGAGAAACACCTTTTGTGGGTTCTCGTGGGCTCCACGAAATCCCGATTATCAACCAATCAGCGAGCTGTAAAACTCATATCTATGTACTCGGAATTCCAGCCAAAATGCCGGAGAACATTGACCGTTTGATGGGTTTGTCCATTGAAATTATTATCTACGTGGAAGATGTAGCTACCCTATTGTCGCAACATGAGCCAAAGACGACGTTCAAGATTTGACCGAGCGAGTTAGACCAATAAAGTCTCAGCCAACCCGAACGATGCTCGTGAGCAGTTTGTGCATCAATTGATAACACAGCAAGGGGTCCGTGACCTCGGACGAGCCAATTGATTCCTCAGTCAAATGAATGAAGAAAATGCCAAGGAGACACTGCTTCTGATTCGTCGTCATAGCTAACAAACATTCCCTCTGTTAGATCGTTCTAGATCAAAGGATTATCGGATTGCACCACATTGAATGGTTCAGTATCTGAGGGAGTTAGCAATACTAGAAAATCCAGATTTTATGGCAAAATCTAGGGCGTATTTTACGGGGCGACATCCGTCATTTTTAACTGGTGTATTAAGTTGTCTTTGAGTTTTCATTTTGCATTTCACGTGAAGTTCAGTGGACGTGTAACGAGCGTGTACGATTTTGTTTATCCAAATCGCCCAATTAAGCCATGTGTGATTAAAAATTAATAATTACTAGACTGCTGCATTTTAGACCTGCCAATTCTCTCCCCCAACAGTCGGCAGGAAACAATTTTGAAAGCAAACTTGAAGGAAGAGCTGTCCTTACCGGGTTACACTGCCAATGAAATTTGGTGATTGGCTGGTTGGTTGAAATCGATGGTTCTTTCTTTGACGCGCACTCACGCAATTGCACGAGCAAACGATAGGACGTGCGCGCCTGTTATTGATCCAATGAGACGGCTGCAAATGCACCAATCACCGTGCACCAAAGCGCCCTTAAGAGCACGGGACGCGCGCGAGGTTGAGGCACGGGCTGCTCTGTTTTTGCATCTCCGTGTGGCTCTACCATTTTGGACAGGATGAGCATTACGGAGGTTTTTAAGAAAATTCCCACGCCCCAAATCAATCTGTCTAATGTGCAGTTGCCCTCTTTTGGGAAGGATTCTTCCAATGGCAAGGCGCCACTCAATATGTCAAAAGTAAGACTCAATAAATCTGACTTATCTCCCGTAAACTGTTTGCCTTCATATATTTTTTTGAAAATCCCACCATTGGCCAGTTAGGTCCGACATTGAGACCTAACTGGGTAGATCTGTCGACGGATTTATTAATATATTAATGAGCAAATCAGCAATGTCACTAGGTCTAGTCCGGTGTGATATTTGCGCTTTGAAATTACAGCAAGCATCTGCGTTCGTTCCAGAGAAATTATTTTGTGAATGCGAATGGCGACTGAGAGGTGTTTATCTACTTGCAAATGTCCACTGCCGCATGAATGATTGTCAAGGAAGTAGTTCCGGTATTCCAAAATATTTTTTTTGAAGAACCTCCGTCAGTAGAATGGTTTTTTCTTCAAATTTTACAGATGTTATTTTTGGCTTGCATCAGACGCAATTTTGTTCGCAGCTGGTAGTTTAGATTCAGTTTTAGCGCAGAGTTTCGCAAAACCGAACATTTCCAACACATTGCACTTCTTCATTTCCGAAAGTTGTCAAAATTAGATTAGGAACTTCTTATCTGTTGGTGTTTTTCATCCCAAGTCTACAGAAATCGACGATGATCAGATCAGAGCCTTCATCGATTCGGATCGTGGTCAAATAAGCATGCAACAGATTGCAACGCGATAGCGATATCGACAATTGGAAATCACTCGACTAATCACCATCTGGATCATGCATTTTAAGAGCAAAAAGGACAATGGGTCATCTACAAAACCCCAAACTTGATGAACCAATGCAAACGAAATCGGGAACTGCCAACTCGCAGCAGGTCATTACGTCAATTCGAAGGAAATGCGAAGATGCCGCATAATTGGAGTTGCTTGCAAACAACCAAACGATCATTGCAAGCAGCTCACTTGTTTGTTTTGTCTTCAAACAGTCCTTGGCACGGTTTATTGCTGATAAGGGCCAGAAATTCCATAAACGCGGGCTTAAATGCGTTGTCAGGATGATGGCCATCTGTTTGTGCATTCCGGTTCAGTCGCCCACGCTTTTATCAGATCACTCTTTACGGCCTGCCTCTCAACAAACCCCAGATAACGCCACGATCTGCAGTCATCGTTTGTTTTGTCGATTCACAGTCCCCAGGATGTGGTTTTTGGTTGAGCTCCACATCACCAAAACCTCCATCGTTCCTTCACACTGGCTGACAGGACGTCACTTCTCGCTGCGTCAATGCTTTCGACGCAAATAAAATTCACCGTGCAAACGCCTCAAGGTTGTTAGAAAGATCACCCAGACTGGAACACCACAGTTACTTGTGTGTCCTTGTTGTCGAGGTCAAATGCGAGTCAAACACATTCTTTCGCATGCACGCAAACGCGACTTATTGTGGTACCAAGCCTTCCTTTCCCCAGTTCTATCTGCTGTGACTTGAAGTTGCCTCGCGCTCGATGTCTACGTACACGCCACAAGTGAATTGGCTTTGCCATGCGTAATGTGTTCTAATGCTTATTCCTACGCAAGCAAATGCTCTGAGCATGGGGGAAAATTTGAAATCCCTTTGTATACATTAACAGCGTGTCCTATCCGCCATCTTGATAGTTCCCTCCTTAAAAAATGCCCCCAACAGAGTGGTGGGGTCCCATTTTGTCTGCTTCAATTTCGCCAAGAAGGCGGTTCTTATGCGCCTCCAAACAGTAGTCGCCACACACACGCACGCACACATTCTCTTTCATGGCCTATTGAGGCGTGTGATTCTTCTTCGACCTAGCTGCAAACACTTGTCCACTTTGCCATTCGCTTGGAATGTGTCTTCATCGTCATCTTCAAGTTTCTTTCGCATGGCTTCACAGAACACTTGACGCTTCTGCGAGTCACTCGGCTTCGAAGTCTGCACAGACGCAACAGATGGCTTCGGTGCCTGGGTCTCCAGATTTCTCTTGATGTCTCCACGCTTTTCCTGAATTAGGGTCACCACATGCTGGTTGTCTAGGTCGTCTTTCCGATTAACACACTTGTCCTTCCAAATCTGCTTCCTCTGTCGACGCTTCGTCCTGAATTCATGAAACAACTGAATGTTGGCTGTGTGTTAATTTGCCTTGCCAGAGAAGATGACATTAAAATTAAAATTTTTCCTTTTGGGAATCTGACATGATCTCATTTCGATCCTGTTCCTTAAGTCCGTATCCAGAATTACGTGCCTCTGATTCCAGCAATGTTGATATAAATACACTGAAGTTATAAGTTGAAGATGACATTAGTTTCGTGATTCGGAAGACCGATCGTCAAGAAGTGCCACTTGACCTTGAATGAGAAGTAGCGATTCTCCTAACCCCTCTTGATTGTTCGCGTGTCTTATCACCTATTTCACCTGGAAAACTCGTAGACTCTCCCAAATTTTTCGCGTATACTTACATGGTATTTGAAATAGAAAAAGTTGATGGTTTTAAAGCCCAAAATAGACTAAAACTGATGAGATTTAAACGTTCGACTTAACCCTTTCTCCTTGCATTAAAATCTTGGACAAGGTATCGATCGCTTTATCTCGACCAATAAGATCACGCTTTTGGTTACAGAGTTTGTGCAATTGCCTGGTCATAACAGAAACTGACAGGCTTTCAAAAGAGTGATTTTCTCAATTCTAGGGTCTGAAAGAGACCCTTGAATTGGTCTTCTAACTTATTGACTTGTTTATTAAGGAGGACATGGAACAGCTGATTAACACAATTCGTCACACAACACTAGCAACCGAAGACGGCGCGTTCGTTGCCCTCTGGATCCTCACGCTGTGAGTTGGTTTGTTTAAAACAAAATAATGCCATCTTTTCCTCACCAGGAGAGCAGCAATCTTCGTAAGCAGCCAATAGAAAAATTTAGCCATTTGCAAGATAAAAAAGTAAACACATTGCTAGTCACTCTCTTAGACCTGCTATCGGCACATGAGCATGTGGAAACAACCGAGTTAGAATCACCTCGAAGTCGATGGAGTCTAGCCAGCTGAGGCTGTTTAGTAGCTACAAATGGTTCAAATTCCACTGTCATTTCACCAAATACCTCCCATATTCCCCCTAAAAAAAGTCGGACAACATCGATGTGTTTCCACCGTGCTCACACACACTCCCCGTCTCACTCCTTTAGAATTGATCACTGGAACAACGAACACGAGCGCATTGTTGTCCTGACTGAACGCAGCTTCTACATCATCCGCTACGACTTTCTGAGCGGAGTGATTCGCGAGAGCAGACGGGTCGGTCTGGGTCAACTGGTCTCCGTGACAACTGGGCCTCTCGTCTTCCCCACCAAGTCTCTGATGCCGTATGTCGCCGTTGATTTTATCAAGCCTCATTTGACCAAACACATTAACGGGAGTAAGCTGCATCGGATTGGCTGGTTTGTTAGGGTGTCTGTCACTAACTTGTGTGCTGATTCGGTTCTTAGGTGGTGGCGACAAGTATTGAAGGATCTTCAAGGATACCATTGGGATTCGCCTCCAATAAAAATAGTTAATTCCTGGGTTACGTCGCGTAGATTATCTTAATGTTCCAACTCATTGTCGTGTCTGCCTCTGTTGACAACCTGCCTTTAGTGCTACTAGAAATTTTCAAGGTCACTACAGTAGCTTTTGATTTGGCTATACCGAAATGCGAACCCTCAACGAGGGAGCGGTGTGTGCTTGCCTCGTCCAATCCGCTTGCAGTCAATTTGAGCACTGGTGTCCACGAGCTGTAAAGGATCGGATCACAGGTTCCCAGTTTTATTTTTGCTGCGGGCCGCACTTCCTGCATACCTGTCTCTCGATTTCCAAACTGCTAGTGTGTTAAATCAATTTTATCAGTACTGAAAATCAATAAACTTTCACGAGGTGGTCTTGTATTTTGAAAAGCATGCGTTTAAACCCGTAATGCAAAGCAATAGAAAGCAGTAAAATCGATAGTTTTAGCGAAATTACTTCTGAATGCCACCAGGAATACCCATTTCCACATTTCGTACGCAAATAACAGACCTGCCTTTGTTTTCGAGCATATCACCTCGAGATTTTGTAGAATAAATGAAGAAGACTTGTATGGGTGTTGAGAACAAATCCCTCGTCAAAATGCACCAAACTCATCAACATCTGTTAGTGATAATGTTGATGGCTCTTTGTTAGAATATACAGAGCCAATCACGATACCCCTTCACGAGCCTAACCTGATTGGTCGTTGTAACATCGACGGTTCCAATTGGGTGAAACGCCAACCTCCTTAAAACAGGCTCTTTTGTTTGTTTGTCTCGACACACACACACACACACACACACACACACACACACACACACACACACACACACACACACACACACACACACACACAC